TTTTCTAGCCACTGTAACGCAGGATGCTTTTAGTAAATCGGTTCCATACTACGCGTGCGCGTTCTGTTCCGTTCATCGGCTAAGGGCCATACTTAACATTCTGGCGACGAGGTTAAACTACTGCGATGTTGCACCTTCCTACACTACTTTGGAAGATTCCTTCTGAGAAACCAACACCGGCTACCTGGAACCGCTGGAAGCGCACTTTTTTGGATTATTTGGAGCTACTACCCGTCTTGCAACCAAACACGGTACTCTCAGAGAGCCACAAAATTAAATTATTGAGACAATTTCTGGGGGATGAAGGCCAAAGACATTTTGATGCCCTCCATGTCGGTGAGGAGACAGTCAACAGCGCGCTAGAAGTCCTCAGCGGGTTATGGGTTCACGACTGAACACATACACTGCGCGGTATTCTTTCTCGACCTTGCGTCAAAACCCTGAAGAAAGTGTCATTGATTTCATTGCGCGGATTCAGCAAGCCCTACCAGAGTGTCGGTATAGTGAAATCCCAGTTACGAAGTTCGAAGAGGCGATGGCTTTACAGTGCTTGATATCCGGTATCCGTAACGAACAGGCTCGTGAAAGGTTGTTGTCGGAAGATGAGACGACGATGAGCTGGGAGAAGGCCTGCAATATTGTTCGACAGCTGGAGAATGTCCATAAACAGTTAGCAGCTTTTTCCTCGCAACCTCATACAGACACAATCCAAGCAGTCGACCGAAAAGATGTTACCCCGAGACGGTCCGAATTGCCTTTTACCTGTTACCGATGTGGAAGTCAGCATTTATCAGCCGAGGAATGTCGTCATAAACAGAGTATCTGCCGCCAATGTGGAAAATTAGGGCACTTGGCCGAGTTTGCCGATCTAAAGCTTGCACAGCCGCGACATCACGTTTTCCCAAGAAGCCCGTGAAGGTCGTCCAGTCTTCAGACGAAGAAGACCAGCTAAACACGATCTGGAACGCAACGTCGAGCATCTGCAGCATTCACCCACCCTACACTGTGCAATTGGAAATAGAAGGCCAGTTGGTTAAAATGGAAGTTGATACCGGTGCCTCAGTTACCATAATCAGTGCTGCATCAGTTAAAAGATTACCCAAGTTATCCCCCTGTGAATCAACTTTGCGTACGTACACTGGGCAGCCGATACCAGTCCTGGGAAAATGCACTGTTCATGTAAATTACCATGGGGAGAAGCGGACCTTACAGGCATATGTTGTGGCGAATGATTGTCCGAACTTACTCGGGCGCGACTGGATTAAATGCCTTCCGGCCACGCTAGAGACAGTGAAGTTCATGTCCATTAACCAGCGCTTGGAGGATGTGCTCAACAAATATTCTGACGTTTTTGATGAGAAACTAGGAAAATTGCACGGATATCAGGCTAGTATCAAATTACGGCCGGGAACTCAGCCCCGCTTTTTCAGGGCACGTACCCTACCTTATTCCCTGAGATCAAAGGTGGAAGACGAGATAAAGAGATTGCAATCAGCAGGAACAATCGAGCCAGTCCAATACAGTGAGTGGGAGCTCCAATAGTTCCAGTCCTGAAGCCGGATGGTTCTGTGCGTATTTGTGGTGACTATAAACTAACTGTTAATCGTTGTTTAATTCTGGATAAGTATCCCTTACCTCGGATAGAGGATCTGTATGCTACGCTGGCAGGCGGACAAAAGTTTACACAGATCGACCTCAGTCACGCGTACTTACAAATTGAGTTAGACGAGACCTCTCGCTCATGCACTACGATAAGTACACACATGGGTCTATTCCAGTACAAACGTCTGCCCTTCGGAATCAGTTCGGCCCCAGCGATATTCCAAAGGATCATTGACAACCTGATCAAAGATATTCCTTTCACTTGCGCCTATCTTGACGACATTCTAATTACAGGACGTACAGATGCTGAACATTTACAAACGCTATCCACTGTGCTCGAACGTCTACAACAGAGTGGACTCAAACTGAAGAAGTCCAAGAGTACGTTTTTCTCAGATTCCGTTCGTTACCTTGGTTACCGCCTCGATAAAAACGGATTACACGTGTTAGAAGACAAAGTAAAGCCCATCCTTGTCGCACCTGAACCCAAGAATGAAGCTGAACTCCGATCGTTTTAGGGATGTTTTCTCACTATCGTCGCTTCTTACCTAACGCCTCAACAGTATTTGCACCCTTGTACGAACTGTTGCACAAGGGGAAGTCCTGGACTTGGGGTCCGGATCAAAGAAAGGCCTTCACAGATGCAAAAAGGGTGCTCAGCGCCTCCCCGTATCTCGTGCATTTCGATCCGAGCCGGCCTCTAGTGCTGCAGTGTGATGCTTCCCCACGCGGAGTAGGCGCAGTCCTTTGCCACCGGACGGATGACGGTTCTCTTCGTCCAATCGCTTTTGCTTCTCGTACCCTGCAACCCGCTGAAAGGAATTACTCCCAACTGGACAGAGAGGCCTTAGCGATTATTTTCGGAGTCAAGCATTTCCACCAGTACGTCTGGGGAAGACAGTTTGATATCCACACCGACCATAAACCACTTCTTTCGCTTCTGGGTGAGGAGAAAGGAATCCAACAGATGTCTTCGCCTCGAATGCAAAGGTGGGCACTACTTTTGAGCGCCTATAACTACAAACTTCAGTATGTAAACGGACCAAGTAATACCATTGCCGATGCACTTAGTCGCCTCCCGCAGCAGCATGGCACAAAAACGAATAGTGAACCCATGGAGTTTATCAATTTGATGCAACACCTTGAAAAGACACCCATCCGGAGTGACGTGGTGCGGCGCCTGACGGACCGGGACCCTGTGTTGTCGATGGTGAAACGGTTCTTGATGACCGGATGGCCTACAAGCACGTCAGACGAACTGAAACCATTCGCCTGTCGGAGTAATGAGTTGAGTCTATACGACGGCTGTATATTTCGAGGCTCGCGCATAGTTCCACCAGAAGAACTACGGCCCAGTTGCTGAGAGAGCTGCATGACGCACACCCCGGCGTGAACAGGATGAAGGCGCTGGCACGTGGTTACTGTTGGTGGCCGAACATTGACCAGGATATAGAGCGGCTGCTGAAAAACTGCGAACAATGTCAGAAATACCAAAGGCAAAAATCTCCCGGACCGATACGTCCATGGCGTTGGCCGGAGAGGCCCTGGCAGCGGGTACACGCGGACTACTTTGGCCCAATCAATGGGATGATGTGTCTACTTTTGATTGATGCCCATTCTAAATGGATAGAAGTACATCCAGTTCCACATGCGACTTCCGCAGCAACAGTTGCAAAAATGCGCTCCATATTCGCCATTTTCGGTATCCCAGAGACGGTATGCACCGACAACGGAACCCCATTTACCAGTGAAGAGTTTCAACAGTTCCTGAGTAACAACGGAATACAGCACATTAAGTCTGCGCCGTACCATCCCGCGTCGAATGGAATGGCAGAACGTGCAGTCCAGACTGTTAAGCAAGGTCTCCTCAAGCAGACTCATGGAACTCTACAAACTAAGTTGGATCGTCTCCTGTTCTCTTACCGCACGACACCGACTGAGTCGACAGGGAAGTCACCCGCGGAATTAATGTTTGGTCGGCCACTACGAACGAGACTGCACCTACTTTTTCCGAACCCTCGAAGGAGAATGGAGGAAAAGCAAAAGTGTGTGTGGATGAAAAGATGCCAGAGGAAATGTGTCTTAATGATTTTGATCCGGTATACACAAGACTGCCTCACGAAACAAGCTGGCAACCTGCTACACTCATGTCCTCAACGAGTAACCAAGCGAAGCTACAGCTGGAGGACGGCCGTGTGGTGCGTCGCCATTTTGACCATATCCGGCCACGCTCAAACGAACCACAGGAGCGGGATCAAAAAGCGACTGCTACTGACCCAAAAACGGACGGAGAATCTGCTTCACAAAACCAGGAACCACAAACGGATGCGGTACAACCACAATTAAGACGCTCAAAACGCACGCTTAAGCCAGTTGATCGGTATTATCCCGGAGTCTGCGGTCTACCACTCGGCTGTACCCCCAGACATGGGCAACACCTGGCACGCGTAGTTAGTCATCAAACGCTGCCAGTCTGTTAATATCCTCAGTGTGCAGTGGTCAAGGAGTTGGCCCATACAGCAACATTGGTGGCATCGCAGCACTGGAAACGATTCCTTGACCATTGACCACACAGTCATCTTCCTCCATCAAAGACCGAGGCTTTGGAAAGCAGCGCAAACCTTAGTGATGCGTAAGGTGACAATCTCTTCCGTTAGGTGATTGCCAGAGGTGATAGAGGTAGCTGGATAGATAGTTCAACTGGCTACATCGAGCAAATGACCGGTAACGGGTGGGAACAATCAACTGCAAATACCAAGGCGTAAAGATTTACGCGCCAGCCAATTCAGTAGTGCATCCACATCAACTGTATCCGAATCAAAGAGAGTTATATCGTCTGCGTACTTTATATGTAACAGGCGGTTGCTAAACAGAGCAATTGTTCTAGGAGAGAAAAGAAGAAGAGAAGCACTTGTCGGGAGGGAAATTATCCCGCAAACCATGCGTTTTTCGGGTACCTACTTCAAGGTTGAGCTTCCCCGCAGGCAAGCGCGAATGGAGGATCGACTGAGGGTGAAAACGGTTCATTGTAGCGTAACAAAACAAAGGAGCAAGAAACGATCGCTCCCAACCAGTGAACGAAGAAGTTGGGTATTCACACTCTATCGGCTCATAGTTGCACCGTTAGCTAAAGCAACGAATACGGCCAAGTGAGTTGAAAGCGATCATGGATTAATGTAATTCATCTAGATTTTCAGCGGTAGTGTATCACATGCCCAAGGATTGACTGCGGGTGCTGACCATTCGCGTGTGAGTTCGTGCACAAAGGAAAATGTGAAACATGCGAAAACGCGGTACAAATAACACGTGTGGAGTGGTCTGAGCAAATCAATGGTCATTAAGGATGAGGGAACACGATTGTTGAAAGAGCATTGAGTGAATCCAAATCATCAACTCACCCAGAGAAGATACGACAATGACGCCCAAGCCAATGGCCAAGGGGCCGCCCATGTAGAGAAACTTATCCGACGGAGCCGTTGTGGCCACAATCGACAGTCCGCCCACAATCCCGCCGGTGTAGAGAACTGCTCGTGTGATAATGGGGCCTCCGATCAGGCAGATAGGCATGAGCATGCCACCAATGCTGGCGGAGAAAACTGTCCAAGCGAGATGTTTTGAATTAAAGACACCTCCCGAGGATGGATAAGGGATCATCTGAGAAGAAGGGCAACAAAGTGATTACGGTTCTCTTAAGTATTCGCTACTCCTAACTAATTCAAACGCGAAGGTAAAGGCTCAAACAAAACAACTGAGAGGCGCTTACACAAACGGTTGGACGCCTAGTAGGGATAGCAGCAAGTAATTCAATGAATCGATCCACCCGCCTGTTCCAATCAAAATGCACTCGTTAAAAGAGATCATCTACCTAAAGACTGCCAGAGAAAATAGGGGGAAAAGTTAGTATACCATCCCGTAGGTGTCCACCAGCGATAGAGCACAAACAGTAGGGTAAAATGAAAGCCTGTGGAGGCCGACGGCAAAATCTGTCACGAACGTGAGCCACAAACAGCCGAAAGCAACCGCGGAAACAAATAAGTTAACATGTGATCTGTTAATTGGAGCTGCATGAACAGCGCGGAGTCACTTCTCAAGGCCTCAGGAGTCGGTTTGGGTGAAACGAAAAGTTCAGTTCAGTTGAACAACTATGATCCGAGCACCAAAGCGCGGTGGATCCAGTTGCCACAATTCACATCGTAAGAATAACAATAAACAACGGCCAAAATAGTGTGGATCAACGCAAATGAAATGTAGAGAAAACGGAAATGGAATGAAAATAAACAACCAGATACAAGAAACCGAATGCAGGAACGTCACTGACTTCGTGACTGCGCCATTTCTGATACGGTCTCCAACCATTGGTGTGGACCATCCCAAAGCATCCCCATACATGAAGACGGCATGCACCAGCCCGAACAAGTCTCTCCGTCAATCTCTTCATCCCACTATGCGATGTCATGGACTGATCACCTCGCGGTTTCGCCCAAGTTGGTGCAGCCACGGCGTATAATGCACGCCGAGAAAGTCGGCCAACGGTCTTAGGGAGGACATGGCCTAGCCAACGAAAGCTAGCGAATACTCGAAAGAGGGATCAGAGGGCTTGTTGCCTAAAACCAATTGGCAGACATCAGCATTGCTCATCTGGTGTTCGCACCGGTAGTAAAAAAACGGCCAAGTGTTTAATGTCTTCGTGCGAATTGGCCAAGTCTCTGATCCACACAGTAACACCAGCCTTACCGCAGGGTTATAGACCCTGGCTGGCCTGCCGAACTACCTCATCGTGGTGCCAGCTGAGTGATTGGGGTGTACCCCGTTTCAGCGAAGTGTTCGGCGACAGTGTTCCATCTCGGTGGGGCATTGTATTCCAGCAATTGTGTTCATTTCTTGGGGAGTATTGGGCTCCTGTTTGGAGATCTACCAAACAAAAAGTCGTATGAAGTGAACATGCAGTCAGCGACTCCTAATGGGCGCCATTCCCTGAATTCGCCTCAGTACTTTGCGGGTAGGTTACTTAACCAAAGGATCGGAGTGGGGTCCCCCTCTAAGTCAATTCCGTACTTCGGCTTGGGCAACCTGGTAGTATCATGCCCTCTCACAAAACCATGGACTGTTCTACAACGTGCTCACCCATTACCGTTTCTGCTTCTTACATTCACGCGACTTCATCACAAGCCAATGTTTATTTGCTAACAATTTTTACTTTTCGTTACCCGATTCATGTGCTCAAAAACCTGGCTGCGATTCCGGTTGCGTCGCGAACCATGGAGTTCATGCCATGACTCTTCTTCGTCCCCAAATTTCGTTCCGTCTGGCGTGCTTCAACGCAGATTGGACAGCAAGCCGGTCTAGCGCGCACCCTAGGGTCCCTCGATATCGACGTCTGCTGCCTTTCAGAAACCCGATTGCAAAACCGTAGCACTGTGCTTACATTGAGATCCCCCACAAACCACGAAGCCAGGTATCACCTGCATCTTTCTGGAGATCCAGAAGCACCCTCAGCGGGTCTGGGTGATGTAGGTATAGCACTAAGTGGCAAGGCCGAGGCGTCACTACTGGGCTGGTTCCGGAGTAACAGCCGATAATGTGCAGTTCGGCTTCGAGATCCATGTAGAATCAAAAAGCGCCGCGGAGAGAGACAACTTGTTTGTGATCCCCGCGTACGCCCCAAATGAATGCAGTAGTGGTTCGGTTAAGGACGGTTTTTATCGGGAGCTATATCAGCTCTTGACTAATGCTAAAAAGTCGGATGTCCTTGTCGTTGGTGGGGATTTCAATGCATGGGTTGGCCGCCTGTTACCATACGAACGGCATCTTGGTGTTCACCACGGGCTTCATGGGAATCGCTAATACGCCGCAATACAAAAAAGATATTAGACATTAGAGTACAAAAACTAATGCAATACCAAATATCATGTTTTGCGTTGGGTAAGTGGTCGTTGTAGAGGGAAGCTGAAGGAGAGGGGAAGAGCAAAGAAACTCGCAAGACAAACACCACCAAGGCCAGCCCGTTGTCATGTCAACAAGTGTAGACAACCCGAGACGCTCATGATCCTTCGGACCTTAACCCGGAAGACACCGACCGACGCCAAGTGCGAAGTGAGGGACTTCATTCCTCCGCACCAATTCATCGCTAAGTCTCCTCTCCACTTCTTCCATTCAGACACCGGGCGCGCAAGCAAGGCACGACGGGGAGCCGATCTGCTACGATATGCAACCCATGATCTAGCAATCGGAGCCGACTGAGTAATACAATGGTGCTGAGCGGATCACAATTGCACAACGTTTTGGCGGTGTTTGGTTAACACGCTATTCTCGGTCAAGATCGTAGGACTTTTGATTCTTTTTCGGTCAAGCTAGAAGTCTTGCGGAGAACTTGGGGTGTTTAATTCGAAATAGTGAGGAAATTTGTAAGAGCTAACACCCATCATGCACCAAATACGCGACGCAGAACGCGCTCATGGTTCACGCGTTGTTCCCAGCACACAAGCGCTTCATTGCGTAGGCAGCGATGGCCGAATGTAGCTAGCCTCTCTCTATGCCTGTCGACTTGATGGACCAGGTTTCACAACAGCAGTACAGAGCGACAGTGAGATCGCGCTGGCGCCACAGATAACGGAGATTGGCAAACGCGCCTAGAACGGGGGGGGGGGAAATAAACTACTCCAGCCAGTTGCTTTGATGAAAAGAATCGGATCTGAGCTTACCTGACAGACCACGCCGGCACCCATGCTGGCAATCATCATACCGATGGGTGCAATCCATCCTGACCCCATCATGGCACGGCAAAACGTCGCCGAACGAGACAGTGCGACCGCGGTTCCCGCAGCGATGGTAGCTCCAGCTGCCAGATACGCATAGGTCATCTTGACACGATGGCGAACATGTTCCGGCCATATAGAGGCTCGATCCATCACGGACAAAGCATCTGCGCCCGCAGAGGTCGACCGCATACCATAATAGCACAATCCACCCAAGCCAAGAGCAGCACCTGCTGCGATAGCAGCACGGCTAAGGTCAATGGCTATCAGAAAAGGAGAAGATAACAGAATGTTTCGCGATGTTTCATGGTAGTTATAGACATACATTGATTGATAGCAGAAGAGCGCGAACTAGATTTGAGAGAGCAACAGATTAGGTAAACAGTTTTCGCTGGGCAGATGCTAGTAGACATCAAAGTACTGATGTGTAGTGTTTAGAAAAACATCTAATTACATGCCAGATGTAATGCCTATGAACAGATGCGTCTCGACTAGTGGTTGTGAAATGGCGTGTTTCTTTAGTTCGGATAGCAAAGGGTACAATCGAATAAGTAACGTGGGATTCAACCGTTACTGGCTCACTACGTGATCAAAAACCATGGTGCAGAAAAGAGAAGAGGAATTCGTGTAAAACATACATTGTTCACGAGTTGGAGGAAGGCTCAAGGATAATTTAATAGACAACTTGTAAAGTTACATAAAATGAGTTCGTGGAAAATGGAATGATTTTAGCCGATAGATGTTCTGTAATTGAGCAGCCGGGGACTTTCTACTCTGTCGTCATCCGCTACGAATAAAAAAGTAATATACGTGAGTAGGTGAAGTTATATTACTGTTGGATTATGTGGCTTGGGGCGATATGCACAAGCCGGCAGTTTATACGCAAAAGGCATAAACAGTACGCTGTACGCAGCACCGACTTTCAGCTGCCGAGCAACCACCACCAGTGGCACATGGGCTAAAGATACTGCAAGGCTCGCAGACTCGAACCCGCACCCTGGGATTACAACGTAGGTTTGTGATCCTTAAGGCTACGGGCCGGCGGTAGTCTTTATTACACTGATACCAAGCGGTGCGGGAACTAGGCGCGCATTACCCGAAGCCCTTCAACATCGCTGAAGAAGTGAGTTAGAGCTCATCTTATCGGCTAAATTTGATGACTCACAATGCCCATTACATTTATGCTCTGTCTTGATGAAACCTGTGCAAGGCCGTTCTCAGAACACGGCCGGTGGCCGAGTGGTCTGCACGTTTGGTTTGCAACCATAAGGTCACCGGTTCGAATCCGCGTAGGGGTGGGCGTCCTCGCGGTATACTCAGCCCGCGCGCGACTGGTGGTGGTCGCGCGGCAGCAAAGCGCCGTTACGGCGTACAGCTGACACGTTACTTATATCATTTTATTTCAGTATTTTGAGAAAAATGATAGTTATATTGAAAGCGATGCGACCAATGAGCCCTTCCGAGCTCAACTACAGTGGTCACCGCAAACTTCACAGTTTGGATCGTCTTTCGTAAAATATCTTGTTCTTGTTAAAAAAGTTAAATACTCTCAGCATTAATCTCGCATCTGCTATCACGCTACCGAAAGCCAGTCCAACAATCGCTGTAGCTCGTTCCTTTACAGGCTACCAATGAAAATTAGAGTACTGGGTAACAGCGCATATTCGCTCGTCACCGTAAAACGAATTTTCCAACACCGCTTCTGTGTCGGAAGTACCGAATATCTGCTAGCCAAATGAGGAGATATGGAAACATAAGCCTGACGGAGTTCAATGATCGGCTATTAAGAACACCCTATGTACCGGTTACTTCAAAGTTGGACTTGAAGAATCCGCTGTGTGGTTGGAGTTGCTACAAGCAACTTATATTGGGACCTCGGTCATTCCGATCACAAGGAGCGTCGGTGAAAAGAAAATATTTGGGTGTTGCTCATCCCAACACTGATACCCCACGAACGCGGTTTCGTCCTGGTTTGGACTCATCAGTTGGAGATAGCCTGAGCTGGGGTGGAAATCAGAGCCTACTGGTTCAGGACTGACGCCATAAACACGATGTCACTGAGGTCCGCGAGCAACGCTTGGCACAGCGGAAACGAATTCAAAGTTTGAGTTGGAGAATCCGCTGTGTGGTTGGGTTGCTACAAGCAACTTCTATTGAGACATCGGTTCACTTGAGGTGGACCTCGGTCATTCCGATCACAAGGACCGTATGTGAAAAGAAAATATTTGGGTGTTGCTCATCCCAACACTGGCATCTCACAATCGCGGTTTGGTCCTGGTTTGAACTCATCAGATGGAGATAGCCTGAGCTGAGGTGGAAATCAGAGCCTAGTGGTTCACGGCTGACGCCATAAACACTACGTCACTGAGATCCGCGAGCAACGCTTGACTATCTCCACCTGATGAGTCCAAACCAGGAAGAAACTGCGGTCGTGAAGTGTCAGTGTTGGGAGGAGTAACACCCAAATATTTTCTTTACCGGTTACTTCGTTTATCCCATTGTATGCTTTATAATAAGTCGTCGGAGTTGCGATCAAGATCTTGCCAACTATGGTGCCACGGAAGTGATGGGGAACCGACATCTGTCTTCTCCACTGGTATAGCTAAGCATACCTGGATCCAACAGTTGGTCGAATGGCAACTTGCTTCGATTCGGGAACACTGATTCGCGCTTCGTAGTAGACAACATAGAGTCACACATCACCCACCAACTGATTTGCACACACACAGGCCCCCTATTGGCACCATCGAACACTTAACTGTCCAAATGACTGACTGAAATCGGACGGCTACAGTCTGTTGGTTTTAGAGATACAGGACAGCAATATATATATATATATATATATATATATATATATATATATATATATATATATCGTCTTCCTTAGCACCAGTCATATACAATGGTTGGTCAAATCACGTGCAAACAACCGGACCCTGTCATGGTCCCAGTTAGTTCATTTGCATCTTCCTAAACTAGCATCAATTCAACGCCTGAAACGCTCTAGCAAAAAAACGTCATTTTTCAGAACAAAGTGGATTTGTGAACTATACACAAAGCCATAATGAAGAGGGAAAAACGATTCAATGACATTGTGATGACGTGAGAAACAAAACATTGGTCGACATGCTTGCTTTAGGTATTGGGTAAAAAAATGTATGTAAGGGACGACTACAGCCATACGCTTGGATTAATATACAATAGGCAATACTGTCCGCAGTCTGTCGCCCAAACAAAGACCTAGAGGAAAGATGAACTACGAATAATTAACTACTCATAGGTCGAGAGGAAAAGTGGAAGAACATCGTAAGACCTCATACGAAAGCGAACTCACACATGGGCGATGAAGACTGATTTTCCGATTTCAGCTGACTTCGGCCGAAGCGGCTTCGCATGGAAGCGGGATTGAGTGGAGTTAAACGAAACGCCCTCGCATGTGAAACGTTTACGGGGGCTGAGCGACCGGAACGAGAAAGTGCATGCCAACAACAGCCTTCTACGAGACGAAGGAGTGGGCGACTTTGCTGCACACATACAGTTGTAGCGAACATTTTCGTGCTGAAAACAAATCCGACAAAGAAACGTGTTGATCTATACAAATGCCCAAAACAATGATATCAGCTGCAAATGTTATAAATTAAGCATAGGTGGAGCATCGAATGGAGAACAGATGGGCGAGATGGGGGGAATAGTAAACATTCGGGATCTTGACAGAAATTCCAAACGCAGAGATCTAACTAGAAAAAACCAAAGGAGCGCGACAGCATAGGTAAGTCGCTGTCTAACGACAAGGGCCCGCAAGATTTGTTCTGAAGACACGTTGGATACTGAGTTAGGGTTCATACAAAATGTGCTGCGCGAAAACGGGTATTCTGATCAATTCATTCTTAAGGTTATGCAAGACAAACCCGACACGGTGCAGGTTCCAACAACTAAGAAATTAGTTCTTATAAGATTACCTTTCAAAGGGGACGCAATCGCCGAACGTGTAGCTAGAAACCTTTCCACAGCCGTTAGGTCAACCTTCCCAGCTGCTAAGCTCAAGTGCACTCTCTCAACGAAACATCTCATTCACATTCGCAACAAAGACAAAATGCGATGCTGACCGCTTCTATGGTCATTTATCAGTTCGAGTACGACTGTGGCGCTACTTACATCAGGCGCAAGGTGCGGCACTGGTCAAAGCGCAGTAATGAGCACTTTCCACGCTGGTTGCGTCCAGGCGGTACCGGGGCTATAACTAGCTCTGTTATAGCTTATCTGGTTGATGGTGGGCATGAAGTCGACCTAATCCGCACTTTCCGAACACTATACCAGGTTCCGCCAATCCAATCGAAAGGCCTGCGCCTCCACACCGTCGCTACAGCCGAGGCGATCAGTATTCGGTTGTATCAACCGCTTCTGTGCTCATAAAAGAAACGGATCGAAGCTCTTAAACCATCCTGGCCAGATAAAATGGACAATTTGGAGACCAGGAGCAATCGTTCGACATCTTTGCCCTAGTTTGCGCTTATCGTTTATGTTTATTGCTGGTTTATGCCCCTGGTTGGCATGTGATCTAATTTCAGCTGAACTGATCGAAATCACTGTTACGCCCATTGTACCCATATAATTGTAAAGGTCTGACTATGAATTCATCAATTGTTTACTTTTGGTCTCTTAATCTTGAGTATTAAATGGGAATTTTTTAGTTACTGGTATCTTGCTTTTTAAGGGTGAAGAGTAGACTGGAGATTTTGGTATGTGTCCACCGCAGCCCATCCTCCACACGAAAGGAGGATCAAGAGCTCGGTGCACAAGTGAGACGCACGGTGGTTGGTGCGTATAATTTCCTAATATTTGGTGATCTAAACCTTCTTTATGCTGAAAGGCAAAACAAGGTAAACGGGGCAGAGATACTGGAGCAGGAACTGATAAAGTGGATGCATGAAAATGCATTTAAACAACTCGACAATGTACCGGCTAGAAGTCGTAACGGAAGTGTCCCCTCTATATTGGATGTTGTGATCACCAAACATGGTCGCTTGGCAGAACACCTATAAGAGCAATCATTGGATCTTTACTTTCTTAAACACAAAAGCTTGCGAGGAATCCTCGACTCGTGAGAATTTTCAGTAGAACTGACTGCATTAAATGGAGGGAGAGGCCTCTCCAGGTCAACTGGATTTTAGATTAGGAACAGAGGTGGTTTTCGCTTAAAACTTGGCTTATACAACTACTAAATGAGTGTCTTCCCCCTTCGAACTGTGAGACATTTTAGTAAGCCCCGGTGATGGAGAAGAATCAATGCAGTTAAAGATGTGTAATGATAAGTGGAAAAGATTGCAAGAATCCAAAGCCTTCTCACGTTGGTTGCGGTACAAAAACGCCAAAATACGACTATCAAATCGTAACGACAGGCTAACTGCTCATCTGAGCTTAGACTGGCCCGGTATGGAAAAACAAATCAAAAATGTTACTATAGCTATGTCCAGTCTAGAGCCTCCCTAAGAGAGGAAGTTAACTGTCTAACTATGGAAGATGGCAGTCAAGCTGTAGAAGCCGGGAGATAAAGCGGAATTGCTGCTATGAGCCTTTCGGAACCTGTATAGGAGGGATATTGGATGTGCTGCACCATCGCAGCCACACTGTGTAAGCAGTCATACAATGCAGGACATGGTTCTGACTGCACAAGTGGTCTTCACCTTGATGGCTAACTTGAACCCCTTCAAATCCGCTGGTCCTGATAATGTACATCCAGCAATAGCCAAACTACTGGCTGATATTCTTTATCATCCTATCACGGAATTATCCAATCTATCACTACAGGAATGCGTTAGGACGAGATTGGAAGGAGACAACTATAGTTGTGATCTACAAAAGGGGCTCTAAATCAGCGCCTCTTAAATACAGAAATGTCTGTCTGACATGGGTCATGCACAAGTACTTAGAAAAGCTTATAAGAAACCGATTTTGTGAGCACGTGGCGGAACAGCATGGTGTCATTAGGACGAAGTCGTGCTTCACTAACCTACTGTGCTTTTTAAATGTGATTATTGGATGTCTTGATTATGGGACCTTGGTAGAGGTAAAGGTTTTCGACTCAGTAAATCCCCGTTTCTTAGTCAATAAATTGAGATGATTTGGATTATATTCTAAACGTCTGTCTTGGGTGTCAAAATTGTTATGTGAAAGAACGTTTTGAGTTAGAAGCAGTGATGTGAATTCTCGTATGGGCGTTGCCTACAGTGGCGTCTCCCAAGGATCGGGACTAGGTTCTTATAATTATAAACGACCCGGCTCTTCGTGAAGACCCCTGCTATATCTTTGCAGATGACTTAAAGCTGGTCAGCAGGGCGACCGAGAATTATTGACCGAAGATATCATCAGCTTGGTTACCTGGTCGAAGCAATGGGATGTGCCTCCGAACGCCAACAAATCGCGACCATTGGCTACCAGTGGAGATGGGACTGCAGTGCAGACTTTCCCGCAGAGCGCTAACCAGGCACGTGGTTTAGGCGTCAGTGGTGAGCAGTTTCAAGCCTTCGGTGTAATGTCGATATGTTGCTAACAAAGCGCGACAAGAATTGTTTCTCCTCAAGAGTGCACTGTGGAACACCAAGCAAGAAGTTTTGCTGCCATTGTACAAAGCAGTGGTTAAGCCATATCTAGAATATTGTGTTCCGGATTGATCGCCCTATCCCCATGGTGATGTTATCCGCATGAAAAAAACTCAAAAACTAGCAGTCAGGATGACTGAAGGTCATGAAAGGTCGTAGGATGATCACCTAAAGAGTTTGGAGTTGATTTCCCTGAAGTGTTGTAGACTGAGGTGGTCTGATAGAGACGTTTAAGATAATGAAGGGCCTCAGTGACATCAAGCCTGCCGATCTGTTTGGGCTGGACGTTTCTGATCATTTGCGCGGAGATCATTTGAAGCTCAAGTAACAGAGGGATAGACTGGACAACAGAGCAAAGTTCCTCACGAACAGTGTGGTATGCAGTTGGAATAAACTATCTTCTAAGTTAGTGGACCGAGAAACGGCAGTAGCCTTCAGAAGAGATCTGGATACGTGTTAAGATATCTTTCTCCAGAGCTAATGTTATTTTATTGCAATTTAGCAGCGAGACCCCGTATAGTAATAAATGATGCTGATCCATGAAAATGCAACATATTTTTGCAGGAGGAAGGAGAGACGATCAAAAGTCGGTGCCATGGGCTCTGTTTCGCTTACCATTCCGAGAGGCAGGACGCTCGTTAGGCGCAAACCCGTGTCGTCCTTGGATCTTGGCTTGACATGATCTGATTTTAAGTCCAGTGAACAATGGATGGCAGTTATTCGAAAAGGTTTCAGCATATTGTGAATGATCCGCAGGTTATTCGGGATGGTGGCAACCAAGAGGTTCGCAAGACTATTTGCAGTCTTTGTCAGGCCGCACTTAGGATATTGCGTACAGGCTTGTCCGCCCTCCCTAGTCCCAGAAAAGAAGACAGATGAACGAGGCTTACGGTCGGGGACGAAAACGGTGTCAACTAAGGTGGTAGCCATGTCTTGAGGCTACTCAAACTGGTCATGGTTTCGATGTACCACGGGCGATTCCGGGATGACCTGATCCTCACCTATCGCATACTAACAGGTGAGGTCGGCTCTGATCCATCTGGATTGTTCTATCCCACACCAGCGCAAACTCTACGTGGTTATCCAGTGGAGTTGCACAAACACCGCTCGGACTGTTAGAACTGATCCTCGGTTATCACGCAAGGTTATGGACTCTTGGAACGCGCTGCTTGCAGAAGCAGCGATGACACCAAAAAGGAGAGTTCGAACATCCACTTGACGCCATTGGTCTACAGTTCAAAGCCTCTCACTTCATATCTCAGTTTTGTTCTTTTCCGATGAAGCTCAACCTTATTAAATCTCGACTGCATTCCAAGTGCTTAGTTTATGTTCTTCCACTTTTAGTTCATTTCACGTCGCCGGTACAGTGGTGACTGCCAGTGCAGAGCACGTGGGCATTGCTTGGTCGACCGTGGAGTGGATCGCGCGTGTTGACACGGCTCCTCCTCCTTTCAGATGGCGACAACAATTGCACTCTGGGATCGAAGTTTTACAAGATGGAACATACACGGGATTCCCTTACTGTTACAGTCCCACTTGAACTTGAAATCAGTTGTGCATGACATGGTTCATTGAGTTATAGAGGGCAGAGGGAGATTCCATGTCAGCCCCATCACCTCTGGTTCAGAATAGGAGCATGCGACATTGCGACCAGCAGTTCTAGTAGGCTGGAGCAGTCGCAGTAGTACAGTGCAATCCTGATATCTTACACAAGTAAAAGTCTGAGCCGCCTGAAACCTTCCCCAGCCTGTGCAGTGATAACGTTCTCCAGAAGGCGGTTCCAGTTATTTATCGCCCGCGTGGATAGGGGGACAGCAGTGAGTTTCAAGTCGTAACCTCCTGTATTGAGCTGGAAAAACAGTTGTAGTTCGTTTCCAAGTTCCCCTTAGTATGCGCCTGGTGAAAATAAGGTCCCCACGGCGGTGACGATAGTTCAGGGAGGAAAGGTTTGTAGTGTCCATA